TTGGGTCATATAGTGTCAACAAAGGATATAAAAGTGGACCCTATAAGGTAGATGCTGTGTTGAAGTGGAAGAGACCAAAATTAGTAATCAAAATCCATAGGTTTTTTTTAGGCTAGCAAGGTATTGTCGTCAATTGATTAAGAGGTTCTCTCAGATTGCTTCCTCTTTAACTAAGTTGATTAAAAAGGATTAGCCTTATGTTTGGAATGATAAATGTGAAATGGCCTTCCAAGAATTTAAGAGGAAGTTGACTTCAGCACCTATACTGATCATCCCTAATCCTTGCACATTATATGTGATGTATACTAATGTGTCACTAAAGAGCTTGGAATGCGTGTTAATGTGAGATTACATAGTTGCAGTGTATGCATTTTGACAGCTAAGATTGCATGAGGAGAAATACACACCTTACATGATATGGAGCTTGTAGCAGTAGTCTTTACCTTAAAGATGTGGCGTTGTTATGTGTTATTCACGATGTAGAGTGACTACAAGAGCCTTAATTAATTGATGGGCAAAAAGGAATTGAATATGAGGCAGAAGAAGTGAATGAAATTCCTTAAGAAATACAATTTTAAGTTAAATTACCATTCCGGCAAAGCTAATATGGTAGCCGACACATTGAACTAGAAGACTGTTCATGTTCCTAAAATGATGGTACATGAATACAAATTGTTCAAAAATTTAATAATAATAATAATAATAATAATAATAATAATAATAATAATAATAATAATAATAATAATAATAATAATAATAATATCTTAAGGTTGGATTTGTTTCAGTTTTGGATAAAAGCATAATAGGGTATCATACATGAAAATCTAATCCCTCCTTCTTGGTAATTAAATCCTTTGGAGAAATTTTTCAGACTAGGAAGAATTTAATTGATTGTTATTATCCATATATATAATAGGGTGCCTTTTATGTCTTTTTTTTATTTGAAAAATTGTTAATGCCATGTCATTAATTCAGGTGACATAATGTTACTTGAATAACGTTGGATTTTTGCAGTTTAGTTCGTAATCTCCAGCAAACTAGTTATGAAACTTAAATTATTAGTTGTAACAATTTTTTAATGTCATGCAAGTACAAAAAATTTGTTTATTGTTTTTAAAATATAAAGACTGCAGTACAAGTGTACAAGGGTATAGAAGAAAATCGAGTACATGGAATATTAAAGTATTAATACGGGAAACATTAGTGGAGAGCAGGGATGATGGAAATGAAATCAATCAATCAATCAGAGGTTTGGTGTGAGAAGGAGGCATAGAGATTTGGTTTGCAAAGAGACGAAGCATCAAACTAAGGCGGATTCCCAGGGCGAGCTGTCTCCCTCTCTGTGCCCTCTCCATCATCATCATCATTCTTTTGCTTTCTCCTTTCACTTCATTTACTCTCTGACACACAATCATCTACCTCTCTTCTTTATGTTTACAGCAGAGTTCATAACCATAACACCTCTCTCTCTCTCTCTCTCTCTCTCTCTCTCTCTCTCTCTCGAGGTAAATGGTAAATTGATCATTAGATCGTAGATTTTAAGTATGGAATGTTAAATTTATTTTTGTTGCAATATTTCTTTTTAAGTTTTAAACATAGTATACCGTTATCTTTATGTTAATGAATTAAAAGATAACAAAAAAATGATCAAAAAATTTTAAACAAAGATTCAAAAATTATAGGTAATTTTTTAACTAATAGTCAAAATTAATATTTATTAATAATAAAAATATATTATATTATTTTAAAATATTTAAAAAAATTATATTAAAAATGAGTTCAAAGTTTCAAAAGTTGCTGAATTTGCAGTTTATTAGGTTTGAGTTTTAACATTTGACTCTTCCATCGTTGACTCTTTCAAGTTTCAACATTTTAGTAGGTTTGCGTTGGTAGTTCACGCGTATGAATTCTACGAGCGTCTTGTTTCTTATCATTTAGGAAGTGACTACACTATTTTTGAATGCTTGAAAATTCACATTTGACTCGAAATAAAAGCAATGTTGAATCCAACAGCAATTTTATGGGGATGAGTTTCTACGATTTTTTCTATAATGGTATCTGATGTGTGTCTATAAATCGTTGTACTAAAATATAAAATAGGATAAAAGATACTCTCTCTAATTAAAAATATTTTTAATCAAAATTTATTTCTTAATAAAGTAATTATTTATTTTTTAACTAACTTTATCTTTTTATATTTATCCATATTAAACACCCTATAATAAATATAAAGTCATTATTAATAAGAGTATTTTTTTTAAAAAAAGATAATAATTACACCTTCAAAAACTAAAAATGTCTTACATTTTGAACATTCAACTCCTCAAAAAATACTTTACATTTTTAAATAAAGGGAGTAAAAGATAGAGCTATAAATTGATATTCTCGTTATATCTTGTACATATATCTTTGATTGAATTGACAATTTTTATAAGGCCCTAAAATACATACCGAAACAATTTGGATCACTTAGATTAATATGATCCTTGTACAAGGGTGATATGTACAAACCAAAAGCTAGACAATGGGTCAAGGACTTAGGGTGCGTTTGGGTATGACTACTTTTACATTCCAAATGTGGTTTTTAGCTTTTGAAATGTGGAATGTTGTTTGGGATATTTTTTTTAGATGGGATGTGCTTTGCAAAATGACTTCCAAATGAGTCTGAAACGAGAAAAATCAAAAGCTCCTCAATGTAGCTTTTGAAACGTGATCTGTGGCAGGGCTGATGTCTAATATTTTAATTCACCATGATACCCTCATATTTTTTATTTCTTCTCGCGCAATCAAGGCTGATTTTCTTTTGTCATTTTGCTGCTCCTCTCATCTCGTTCCTCCGTCGCTCGTCCATCGCTCGTCCGTCGGCCGGCCATCTTTTCTCCAACTCTTCCTTCCTTCCTTCCTTCTCAAGCTCGCTTCTATACCTTGATGCATGCCACTATGGAAGTTCATGTCGTTGCTGATATCGTCGTCACAGTAGCCAAGGTCTCATCGGCGGATGACGGCATTGTCTTCGTTGAGGATGACATTTTTGCGTGGTTATTGATGGGCCACGATAGGTCTAGTGTTGAGTTGCTAAATCTGTTGGAGGACGTGAAAGATACGATGGTGGAACCGGCGAGTAAAATGGGCGGAGTGAGGTTCATCGATGACTCGTATTCTTCGCTTTTAGTTTCAGTCCTCCTCCTCGTACATCACCATAAACAGCAATGAGGAGAGTTGAAGGTCGTCGTTCTCCAATTCGGGCACGTCTGTGATGGCCAGCGTCGACACCAACGAGTTGAGAAGGAAGCTTGTGGGTTCAGTGGAAGTCAGCTGGGTAGGGAGAGAAGCGAATGAACTGACTTTTGAAATAATTTTTATTCGTCTCTTTTCCAGTTCATGCATGCGAAATATTAAATAATTTTTTTATTTTTAATATTTAACATTTTAAAGTTTATGTCATTTTAAATTTATTTCACATTTTTTAAATATTTTTAATATATTAGATTTGTATAATAAAAATTATAAATTATCATAAATTAATGTCCTTTTTGGTCATTGCATATTAAAAAGTACATTTCAAAAGCACAAATTTTATTAATCCAAACAACTTTCAGTTTGCCAAACTGACTTTTGAAAAAATTTATCCAAACACAAATTTCATTACAATAACTGACTTTTACCAAACTGACTTTTACCAAATGAACTTTCATCAAACTGACTTTTGATAAATTGAAAACCAAACACACACTTAGTCTATTAGAGCTTGAACCCGAAAGTCTTGTTCCTCTTAAATGTCTTTTAAAAAACATTAGCTTAATTTTGCTTAAAAAAACATTAGCTTAAATTATTTGATAATATTAGGGCTAGGCCCTTAAGCCTATACTTTTTATTTTTTACAAAATCCAACATAGTTGTAAAATATTCGACTAAATTGAACATCCAAATTTCACATTTAGAGTACAAATAAAAATAAAAGATCATACAAATGTTTTAAATGTACCAATAAACTTGAATCTGAGCTCAAGAGGGCTCAAGTGCTTGGATTCCTAATTCAACACTATAATTGTCAGGGTTTGAATATTTTAAACGGAGTAAGAAATTTTTCAAATGACCAACAAAGTGAAAATTAAAAATAAAAAAAAAATTTCTAACTAAACCGAGCCGGCTTTTCTTGTGAAGGGATTTTAGACCTGACCCCAAACTGAAAGCCTTGTCATTAATTTTTCTCCCACCAAAATCTCAAAGCCAGCCTGCATAAAATAACGCAAATTGGTCCAACCTGCCCGACCCGAATTCTCTACTCTAAAATCACTCCCCAAATCCGAATCCAATACTTAATGGTTGGTATTCGTGATACCTCATCATATTTTATTTGTCTCTTTCACACCTGTGGCTTCTAGGAACGCAAAAGATACGACGAAAGCGTTGTGGTTTTCACCTTCCTCGTCTTCTCCTTGGAAATAAGTAATAACTTAATGATCTTGACCTCAATCTCACTGCACTACTGCTGCAGCTTCTGCCACAATGCAACAAGCTGGATGGAATAAAACACTCACTCAGTTTTTACACTCTCTGACGCCAGCTTACTCACTCACTTACCTCAAACCCTCCTTCTGCCACTCAACTGAAACACATCCAGGTTATTTATTAACAACTCTCCTTACAATGCTTGCGTGTGTTTTTCTCACTTCCTGAAAAGATGTTTTCCCCTTCCCTGCACTTTTCACTCATCAGAACACACCAACCTTGGAAAAGATTACCTTCACTGCCACATGACGAAAGTTCCATTACAAAACTAAGACCATGCGCGTTTCCCTGAAAATGATATATTACTTCATTTACTGTAATTATTTACCACAATAACTAACCCAACTGATTCCATTAATTACTATTTTATCATAAGATTCTATCTCTATCTTCTCTTCAAACCTGTATGTTACAGTCAAAAGAAAACAAAAACCTTGTGTTGAAAATAGTGTTAAAAACACTCGAAGATAGCAGAACAGAGACACATAGTAAATTTATCAGCTAGCTCCCAGTACAGAATATCTTGTTTACATGCACATTCATTACACCAGATTCATCAGCCACACAGTCCAAAAGAACATAGCAACCCTAAGTCGATCTTCGGATTCTTCAGATATTTATAAGAGAAGATTTTCTGATCTAGTACTAGTTTCAAGCTACACATACACTACATGACCATTCTAGTGGTTCTACCTCCGAAGTCCACACCAAGCTTCAAGTCTAGTTCCAGATTATTACCAAAACCTGAACTAATTTTCTCACTGCGATCATTCTCTCTCACAATCTCCGGCACCCCACTGAACAACTGAGACACAGAGTTAACCACGCAGCATTTCTTGTGATTAACCAAAGTCTTTCCCTTGCTTTTCACTTCTGAGATTGAATTTGCAGACGATGAAGAAGGTGACGACAATGGCAGCACTGAAGGTATCTCGAAGTTGGTTCTCGCCTTCGCGCCTCTCAGTCGCCTCGCAGCGGCGTCGTACGCACGGGCTGCCTCCTCCGCCGTGTCGAACGTTCCCAGCCAGTGCCGGCACCGACCGATTCGGTCGCGTATCTCCGCCGACCACCTCCCCCACGGCCTCTTCCTCACTCCCCTGTACGTCTTGTTCACCGACAGAATCCCACCAGCTGCACTCTTGTCTGCTCGCTTCTGCACCGACGTGAAACCTTTGGAACCATTAAGGTCGTTGTTGTCGTTGTTATTATTAGTGGTGCCGGAGATTGTTGTGGGGTTGTGACCAAAGAGAACGTGCTGACCCACCACGGCAGCGATTCCCTCAAGAGGCGGGGGTGAAGGTGGCGCATCTGTAGTGGAAACCCAGCCGCTGCATGGTCTTGTGGGATCAGACAGGAAGAGGAAATGGTCGTTCATCTTCTTCGGTCTCTTCAAAGGGAGGAAGATACGGTTGCGAGACTGTGGTCCGATCTTCAACAGCAGTCCTCCATTTATACATGAGTTAGAAAGTTGAATCAGCGAAGGGGGAAAAAAACAAGAAGAGATTTTATTAGAGAAATGGAAGATATTGCTGTCAATATCGATATGACCGTAATCTAAAATCGACTCGGATCGATATCATCTGGAATGACGTAAATACCCCTATAATAAACTCTAGGATGGGAAATGGTGAGAGGGGCATGGAGGTAAATTCAATGGCGAGAACGTAACGACGTGATGATATCGAGAGTTGGGAATGAAGCAATTGGAGGAGAGGCGTCAGGTGGCGTCAAAGAAAAGCCATTTGATTTCCTCTGATAAGCGATAAACCATCGTAAATGTACGAAAATTAATTTATAATAAAAAAAACTTTTTGAATGATAAGTTAAAATACATCTGATGCAACCAAGAGAATAAGTTAGCCTAATAAAATAAATTAGCCTCTTATATAATATGATGAAACAATATTTGATTTTTTTTAGTAGAGATGTCTGTATTTAGTGTGTCTAATACGAGATCACTTCAAGCAGAAGAACAACACCATAAAAAGATACATCTTATACAAGGTAGTCTATGTTTAGATTAGTATTTGAAAAATTGAAGTTCACAAATTGTCGCAAATTCAAGCTGTGATAGAAGTTAGTTACTGCTGTAATATGATTTATATTTAAATAAACAAACCTCAAATCCTAATTATATATATATATATATATATAAAGTTGCTTCTCATTTTGACGTAGGTCAGGTCTCATGAAGCTAATCCAAGCAAGAAAACGTTATTAAAATGAGGTTTTTGAGCCTCCAATAACGGAGGTTTAAATAAGCAAACAAGGAGTTAATTACTTATATTTATACACTTACTCGTAAACCAAATTGAGTTTCAAGGTGAAAGGAAAGAATATTAAAAGCAGGACCTGAAAATATGAGAGGGGTTAGAAAAAGATTTGATTGCGTAATGAGAGGGATTTGTGAGGTCAACAAGTTTATTAAAACTAAAAAAAGTGATGGATTGGATGGGAGAAATCAACCAAGTTATCTGCACTGAACTGGACTGCACTACTGTGCCAAAATCAAAGTGACTTGAGTTTTGGTTCAGAATGCTTTCGTCAACCTTGTGTATTCCATAATTAAGCTAAGTATCTACATTGCCATTTCAGGATCTCTTGTTATATCCACAATATCTATTTATTCATTCATTGAAAATAGTGTAATCATCAATGCCTACCAATACATGCAAATGAAACAATTCAAATCCTATATGTATATTTTCAAAATCTCAATAATTTAGCATCAGCTGTAGATGCCAAAGTATATCTCATAGCAGATAGCACCTACTTAGTCGTCCTCATTACTCTTTTTTCTTTCCAGATTATCTTGGTCATTACTCATTGGGTTAACAAGCTCAATTGGCAAAAGCCTTCTAGCATTTTGCCCAGAACTATATATGACGCAGTAACATCACTGCTTGATATTTTGATTATTATCCCAACACTGCTGCATAATTCAATAGTATTCTAAAAATCTTGATCTTTGTTGAAATGGCAATTTTATAACGGATCACGTTTACTTAGATTTAACCAAAGCCCTTTCAATGACTCTGGACATTTTCTTAAAACCACCCTCTCTCAAATACTATCAATAAAATCAAGATCTTGATTATAAAAGATTGAACTGTAACTTTTAATTATGCTTTTCAATAGACAAATAAATATATGAATTAGTTGGCTTGTCTTACTTTAAATGACAATTTAAACTCTACGGTTTTTGTTGACCCACTCTTAGAGTCTAGAAGTATTATTTGATTTGACATGAATTTATTTTGGGAGAATGACAGAGAGGTTTCAAAAGGATCAATTAATTCAAGTTAGGTATTAAATATCAAATTTTAAAACTTTATAATTTAATCTCTTAATTTTATAATTTTGTTATAATAAATTTACAACTTGTACTTTAAATTTTAACAAGAAATTTTTCTATATTCTCTGACCATGTTAAAATTTTAAAAAATAAATTATAAATTTATCATAATGCAATTGCAAAATTGAGAGATGGCTTATAAATTTTTGAAGTTTAGCACTTGAGACTTAATTTAAATTAATTGATCCTTTTGGAACTTTTTTGCCATTCTCCCATTTATTTTTTCTTGTACAATTTTACCATGAACTTGTTATACTTCACCATTTCAAAAAAAATAATTAAATTAATAACATAAGCCCCTCATATATAGAGCTTTTCATAATATCTTCTGTAATACTTTACCCTTTCAATTTTATTTTTTTCTTTTAATCATTAAGTTTTACTGAGAGACATTTTGATATTTTACAATTTAAAAATCATGTAGGTTTGGTTTTTATGATTTTTCAAAGAATAATACCATAAAATTGTGTGTTTTTGATTTTTTATTTAAAAAATTGAAAAAAGAAGTTAAAAAATGTGTATCATTTTTGTATTGCAATATATCCTCTTATTTGATGTAGAAAAAAGAAATTTAGAGGGTGGGAAATTGCATAAAACATTAGTGGAAAGAGTATAACCTGACAAAATGTGAGAAGGTTGCCTGTTCAAACTCCAAGCGGTGTTGGGGGGTGTGCCTCCCTTCCTTGCAAAAAAGATATACGATAAGATAACTTTTTAAAAAAGAAAAGAAGAGACCTAAGCATTTTCTTATTATTTAATTTAAAAATTTAAATTAGAAAAAAAAAAGCAAATATGTGTAGCAGTAAACTGTCATCTTTGCAAACTAGTTAATTTCCATCAAGTTGTCTTCATCAAAATAGTCCGTGAACGTGTACTCCTCCAAAATAAATAAGTATCAATATTATTCATATTTTCAAAAGCAATATATGTTATCCTCTTATCATAATAATTTACTCTTATATAAACTTATTAACTATAAAAAAGATGTATTGCATACATTTAAAAAAAATTTCATTTAAATATGAGTAAAATTAAAAGTTTAATTTTTTTTCTTTTTAGACAAAGTTAATGAATTGACTTAACCGGCCACCTCTCCTTAATCCTACTAAGGTGGTTAAAAATGGCTTATAATAAGAACAAAAAGGAATACACAATTAACTCCTGTACAAGTTATTTGATTAGAAAGTAGTGGATTTTTTTTTCCCATGAGTTTTTGAGATATTTAAATCAACAATGATATATGAATACCCATTAATTTTATAAAAAAAAACCAATAGTTTTCAATAATTAAAATTGCCTTGCATTAACCGTCAAGTTTCAAGAATAGCCAATGGTTGATTGTTGGGCTATTTTAATAAATTACAAAAGATTTGTCTCTTTTATATGTACTATAATTATTGATTTAAAGATACTAAAAGTTTTGAAGAAAAGTCTCAGCGTATGTACTATAATTATTGATTTAAAGATATTAAAAGTTTTGAAGAAAAGTCTCAGCGTATATTCGAACCTTCATCCTCATCTTAATTATATGCAATATTAAGGTTTCCATATGCCTGTAAGCAAGACGTGATGGTCACATGAGGAAACTCGGAAGGCGAGCTATGGGATTATAAAATATGCATTCAAAACAAAGTGCCTTGCTTGCTCAAGAATCCTCTTTTGAACGAATGTTAACTTTTTTTAATTCTCAAAAGAAAACTTTGGTTTCATTGTACATATAGCACAAATTGAAAAGCGCATATACATAATAGAGAGAGAGAGAGAGCAAATTAGGAAGCACTGCAGGAGTATGATCTGTTGTTTACGAATATTTTCTGAGGGGAAGATCTACAGCGATTTACCTCATTTTGTCGTTTGTTAAAACTTGGAATGAAGTCAATCTTTATAAAAATTTGGCTTTCTCGAGCGTCCATGCAAACGAATCCAAAACAAAAAGCCTCGTCTCTCTCACATTTACACACATACATACATACATACATATATATATATATATATATTATGAGAATATCTGGTTTCCGAGGTGGCTTCGAAAGTGGTCGTCTCTGCCTCATATTTTGATATTTAAAGAAACATGCTGTAAGAACCACGAAGAATGTCGGTCTATATGACACCACATAAATACAAACACACACTTATAGCATAAACTAAAGATAGAGAGACAAGAAAGAGAGAGAGATAAAGATGGAGAGATCGAGGTTTTGGGGTTAATATTTTGAGGTGTTTAGGAGAAAGAGAAGGTGGTGAAGCACGCGAAGGTTTTAGTGTTTTGCACAGTGCTCTCCCCCTCCCCCCCCTCTTTGGACCAAGAGAAGTTCAAGTAGGCATAGTAGGGCTTGGTATTGGCCTTCGGGGTTTGGGAAAGATACAGAGACAGAGAGAGAGAGAGGGGAAGAGAAAATCCCAAAGAAGGCGTGTGATAATGATATCTTTATAATGTGTACTTTAGTGATGTGCAAATTGGTGCAAAGTTTTGTGGGAACTGCATGTCTACAACATAAGGAAATAATAATGCGACCTTTTTGTGTGGTCTGTTTAGGATATTCTGAGACATATATCAACGTTGGCTTTTCATGAAAATGGCAATCTCTGAAGATGGTAGCCCCACTGGGACACACATGATTAGGGGTCAAAGGAAAGTATCTCTCCTCTTTTATCACCTGGTTCTCACATTGTCCTCTGATCCTCTCCTACATCTATTTCGCCTTTTCGCCATCATTTTTCCCCTTAGCTACATGCATGTATTTTTTTAGGTTTATTGGGGTCAATCTTGTTAAAGACACGATTAAATATTAACTAAGAGTATTTTTTATGGTGAAGATTCAAATATTAGTTAGTCATTATTTTAAGGACTAGCTGCTTTTACTACCTTAAATTTTTATTGTACAACCATTTTCACTTGCTCTCTTGTCCATTTTGTCATTTAGACCATATAGATGATAATTGGGTTCCACCCTGAATGGGCTACATTTGTTTCAAAATTGTGGAGATAGCCAAACTCACTTCAATGTTTTTAGAATGTTGACATATCTCACCTAGTAATTAAGGCACACTTA